CTAGCGGAATCCACTGAGCACGGCTGCCAGCCCATCTCTGATCGGACACATGTCCGTTCCTCGCATGGAGAATTGGGAGGCCGGGGGTAGGTGTGGAAGGAGACGCTTATCACAGTTCAGATCCTTGGATGCTTTGTGACTTTCGCCACGGACACGACTGAGCCCGTTAAAATGACAGCAAGCCCTTTGAAGAGTCTCATGCTCGACCGACTGAGCCAGCGGGCACCTGTAGCAGGCCAATCTAGAGCAGAACGTCGAAAGCCGATCTGTATGAATTAACAGTAGCAATGACTAGTTGTTTGACCTTGGGCAAGGCTCCTGGTGACTCCACTTCCCTGCCTTTAAACTGGAAAGCCCGTCCGGGGAAGGGAGCAGGGCCCCGCAAGGCCATCCAGGCCGAGGGCCACCGCCGGGTTTCCGTGGGACTGTCCTCAGAAGTGTGAGACTCACCGTCCTGGCCCCCCAGGTGTGGGCTCACGCTCTATGTCCCAACAACTGGAGTTTGCTGTGTATGCCACCTCCCAGGGAGCAGGCTGCCAGCGCCCCTGGCTCAAGGGATCTAATTTTAAACACGGGGCTCTGGGCGGACAGATCCTGGCACCTCCAAGATGTGTGCACTAAAAAAAGATGCCCCTGAGGGCAGAGGACAGAGAGAGACGCCCTCCCACCTCCCTCTCTCTCTCCTGCCCCAGTCCAGTGAGTGGCTGTGCCGGGAGGCGGGCAGGACCAGTGCCCGGGGGCAGGTCCAGGTGACCCTGTATCGGCAGCCTCCGCGCTGTCTGGCCCCAGAAATCCCATGGGGTTCAAAATAGATCACCCGTGCCCAGCCAGTTGATTCCTAGGGATCTAGTCAGATCTCTCCTTTCATACATGGTCTTCATTTATTTGGAATTTTTTGTTAGTTTTACAATTTGTTTATATCAGGATCCCAAGTGAGTTCTCTATCTCGTGGCTGGCTGGTATTATCTCCAAATCTCCTTTACTTTATGGATTTCCCTTCATCTATTTAGTTAGTTACTTATTTACTTTTTCTCTCTCTCTCTAAATTTATTTGCAGAAGAAATCAAGTTGTTTTATCAGCAGTTTCCCGCGCCTGGCGCTGGCTGGCTGCATCCCCAGGTGCCTTCCCCCTGTTCCTCTGTCCCTGTCGTTCCTGCAAGTGGTGGTGGGACGAGGCACTTGATTGGGTTCAGGTCTGCGTTTGGGGCGAGATGACTCCAGGAGCCTCTTCCCTCAGGGGCTCGGCCCGAGGCCTCTGTGTGATGTGAGCAGCTGGCTGTCCGTCCATTCATTGGCAGGTGGGGGTGGGGCCGGGATGAGTCCCTGACTCTAACATTCCTACGATTTCAAGCAGGTATAATCTATAAATAGGACCTTCCCCTCTCCACCCAGCTGATGCCCCCGCTACCGTTGGTCGAGCAAAGATGGACTTAATTATGACCCTTCCCCTGCCTTTAGGAGCTGAATCCGTTTGGTACAGGACCGAGCGCCAGGCCCTCCGCACACGCACAACCTGGGCACCCGCAGGCTTCTCAGCCTCTCCCCAAGCCTCAGCCCCAGCCCAGCCCCACACCCCCTGCTGGAAGCCGCCGCAGGCCTTCCTTCCCTAAGCAATGCCCGAACTCCTGGCCCTGCCAACTCCTGTGCCTGAGGTGCCAGTGCCGCCCTGCAGGCTGGCTGTGGGCACCGAGTAGGAGAGTTCGGCCATGGGCCTGACACTCCCATCAACCCTCCCTGCCTCACAGCTCCCTGCAGAGTGTATACACACACACACACACATGCACATGCTGGGTGCATACACACACACACCCTGGGTATACACATACACGCTGGGTATACACACACACACTGGACACGCACACACACACACACACACACACGCTGGATACACACACACACACACACGCTGGGTACACACACACACATGCTGGGTGCATACACACACGCTGGGTACACACACACACACATGCTGGGCACACACACACACACACTGAGCACACACACACACTGGACACACACACACACACACACACACACACTGGGTCCAGGCTCCAGCAGCTCTATTGTTCGGCCACTTCCCCAGCCCCAGGGGATGGCTGGGAACCAGGCCGGCCCTTCCTGCGGGGCTGACGTGAGGGCTGCGGAAGGAACAGCGTGTCTCCAGGCCCCGCTTGGGGCTGCGCATTCCATTCGTGCCCGGGGGCTGGGGGCACGT